GAGTTTGAGGGAACCGGTTGACAGGCCTCCAAACTGTACTCCGGCTTCGCTGTCAGATACTGGGAGGTTGTTACTAATGCATAAACGTATTCACTGTTTCTCAGACAACCGTTGTGTGTGTCCAACAAATCTCCCCAGAAATGCTACAGAAATGAATGTGCTTCGACGTTCTGGCCTTTTAATTCACCGTAGTTTCAAGACAAGCAGTTCCTTAAAATAGACACTGTCTGGTGGAAAAAGCAGTGACTGGGGGTTGTAGTGGTGTTTTTGTTTTGTTTTGTGTGTGGCTTTTTCTTCATCTGTCCCTTGGAGTCTTGCAGTATCTGATTACCCAGCATTCATATTTCATGAGGGCCAGCATGTGATGGAACATCTGAACTTTCCACCAATCAGGTGATTTTTGCATGGTCCAGTGAGGTGGACCTTAGCATGATATGCCCCGCCTTCTCAGGTTAGTGGGCTGGATGATTCGTGGCAGGCTTGGAGGTGCACACAGGCAGCAAAGGCAGGTGTGAATTTTCCACCAATCAGACAAAATATTTCTGTTTCCACTGGGCGGGTCCCAGTGACTGGAGCCCCTCCTCTCCACCCCTGCCACCCCCCCCCCTCAGGGTCAGGTTGCAAGAGGCTGCGTTTTCCTGCAGCTGTCGAGGGAATGCTCATCCAGCCCTCTGTCTCTGAATGGTCACCGCGGCTCACCCGTGGAGTCTCGGGGACTTTTGGGGACATGACGAGCGCTGAGCCTGACCCCCTCTGCCTTCCAGGGCCGACCATCGAGTGGCTGGGACCCAAGCTGCCCGATATCCTGAAGAACGGCGCTGCCCTGCCCTGCCTCTCGGAGGGGGAAAGCAAGACGGACACGGCCAGCCTGGAGCGCCTGAACACGGAGCCCGGCGACTTCGCCAGGGTAGGGCATGCCGTCCGTCCCCCCCACAGTCCACCACACCACATCAACAGCACTATATTATACTCTCTTACATTATTTATCATCTTCTAAGTAGGGCACTCTTTTCCAGGGCATCTGACATAGCTTAAATTTTTTACTTACCCCGTTATCTGTTTCTTTACCTGGATATTTACTGAAGCAATGCAGGATAAGTACCTTGATCAAAGGTACAACTGTGGTGGCCTGCTTGGGAGTTGAACCTGCAACCTTTGGGATTATTATAACCTCTGTGCCACAGTGCTCTTTTGTGATAGAAAATATAATACATACCTTTCTCAGGTGACCTATCAGCTGGTAGTAATAGTATATTCCAACAAGGGAACAGTTTAGTATCGATGTATTTGATAGCATTGTGAAAGATGTAGCTTTCCGTACTATGTTGGATTGTTGCTTTTTGAAACACAAAAGCTGCTCAGCTCAGAGCTGTGTGAAGGTAATAATTAATCATAAGACCATAGGTCTTATAGCATCATGTTTAAAAAGATGTCAGGGGAATAGCTTTGCAATCAAAACTCCCATTGTCTTCTTTACCATTACCTGTCTCTAGAACTCCTGTGTCTCCTCACGTGTGGTGTTTTCTGGAGTCCATAAAGCAAACAGGGATATATATGCTGAGACCCGACACCATCTGAAAGCATCAGAAGAGTAGACGGAGAGTCAGACAGAGGAAGAATTTAGGCTCTAGATTTGACAGGGGGGAAAACAACCTCCTGTCGGAGCCTGCGATATGTGCCCCAGGCTCGATCAGATATCCTTCCATCTGATAAGGCGTAAAGCGATAGGGGTGTGCTTTAGTCACATTTAGCCATGTCTTTAAATCACCACACCTCCCCAGCCCCAAAGAACAAGCTGCCTACTGCTGCCAGGTATGCTGTTCCACCAAATGTGATGATTGGCCAGACCCTATGGATGTATGGAGATGTGGACTATAGTACTATAGGTGCCTATAGTATGTGTTTTTTATGTGTTCAATGGTAGAGTAATGACGGTCAAGAAGCATGATTTTCAAAATGAAACTGGCACAACAGTTAACTGGAAATTGGACTGTTTTGTTTAGCTTGCTTGTGGCTGCAGTCACACACAGCTCTTGGATTGTCTTAAAAATGCATGTGACAAAAAGTGGTTTCTAGCTGACTCAGAAAAATGTGATAGATTTACAGATTCAAAACGTTATTGGAATATTCCACTAGTGTTAGGAAGTAACCAAAATACGTAATAATAGTATAACATGACTATTTTATACATAAAAAGCAGATGAATATTAACAATATGTGATGTATTTCAGTATTAAGAGTTTCATGATTTTTAGTCAAAATAGCTGAATGCAGCAGATGTTAAGATGTGCAGTATTTTTGTGACAGATCAGAATGCAAACAATTTCACTGTGTAGCAAGTATCAGTAAGTCAGTGCACTTGTCAGTGTGAAAGAAGCAGAATATAAACAATATTCCACATGTAAAAGTTTTCAGAATATCCTGAATATTCTCTTGAAAACAGCTAAACAGAAATAAGATGCAGTGCATGTATAGAGTGAGTTATAATGGTAACTCGGACACCGCCTGAAACGCAAATGTTGCCCCCTACAGGAGCAGGAGGAAATTGACCCGGAGGACGAGGTGGAGGACACCTTCACGGATGAAGAGGATGACCTGGAGGCAGTAGAGGAGGAGCGCAGCGTTATCCTGCACCTGCTGTCCCAGCTCAAGCTGGGCATGGACCTCACCCGGGTAGGCACCCCTGACCCAGAGCTCTGCTTATCACATGCTTCAACCGGAGAGATGTGCATAGCCCACATTTCATCCATTGATTGCAGAGCTGGGTGTTTCCTTCAGTTATTCAGATGGAGTGCCTTGCTAAGGCTGACTGGCGTCTGTTGACTGAATAAAAATTTGAACAATGAAAAACGGTGCTGTACTCTCGCTTGGCTCTATATCAAGCAAACAAATGGCTAGGGGCCACTCCTTAATAGAGTTATGGGAAGCTCTGGTGCTAGTGGACACTTTTTAAGGGGGGTCAGGGGTCTCTTCATCACTCTGTCTGTGCATGTGTGTGTGCGTATGTGGTTGTGTCCCCACAGGTGGTACTGCCTACCTTCATCCTGGAAAAGCGCTCTCTCCTGGAGATGTACGCTGACTTCATGTCGCACCCAGACCTATTCGTGGCAGTGACGGACGGGGCGGGGCCCGAGGAGCGCATGGTGCGCTTTGTGGAGTACTACCTCACCTCCTTCCACGAGGGCCGGCGGGGTGCCGTGGCCAAGAAGCCCTACAACCCCATCATTGGGGAGACCTTCCACTGCTCGTGGCGCGTGCCGGCCCGGCACGAGGACGGCCCCCGGGACCACTGCCTGGTGCGCTTCGTGGCCGAGCAGGTGTCCCACCACCCGCCCGTGTCGGGCTTCTACGCTGAGTGCCCCGAGCGCCGCATATGCGTCAACACCCACGTGTGGACCAAGAGCAAATTCATGGGCATGTCCATCGGGGTGTCCATGATGGGGGAAGGTGGGCCATCCTCCGCCCTGCTCATCTGTGTCTGGCAGCCAATCAGGCCTTCCTTTGCATCTGTCTGTCAGGAAGGAAGGCCTTCCTCTTCCCTGCCTCTCTGTGCCTGACAGCCAATCAGGCCTTCCTTTGCATCTGTCTGTCAGGAAGGAAGGCCTTCCTCTTCCCTGCCTCTCTGTGTCTGACAGCCAATCAGGCCTTCTTTAGCATCTGTCTGTCAGGAAGGAAGGCTGTCCTTTGCCCTGCCTGTTTGTGTTTGACAGCCAGTTAGGATTTCCAATATATCTGTCTGTCAGGAGGGAAAGCTGTCCCACCCACATCTGTCTGCCCATTTGTCTGTCTGATAAGAAATTAGTCCCATGTCTGCATTGTGTCTGTCTCTCTGTGTATCTGGACGGTAGCAGTACCTCTCTGTGTAGTTCTTTATCTTCAGCTGTCTGTCTGGAAAGTAGACTGTCCCCTGCCTCCCTGTGTCTGTCTCTCTTTCTCAGTCTGGAAAGTATTTCTTCCTGTACATCTCTGTATGCGCAACGGTCCAACTGTGTGAATGTGTATGAATGTGCCCCTTATTAAGAATGTAGCCTGAACCAGCAATGTGCCATTGAGTAAATGACCCCACTATAAATCACTTTGTTTTAGTAAGAAATCAGATTATTCACAGATGAGCAGATTATGGGCCTTAATTCAATTCCACCTTTGACCAACTCATGAAGGAGCATAAATCCCTTGGAAACAGTGGATAGCATTAGCATGTCTGTCCCCTTTAATCCTCTAATGAATTCTAATGTCTTGAGTAATACCAGTCTGGGAGCGGTTGTGATATTGTTTTTATTGGAGATAAAGTGATCATTCCTGTATTGCTCATTAAAGAAACGTGAATCTGTGTGTGTTTGAGCGTGTGTCTATGTGCGTGTGTCTGTGCCTTAGTGCACGCACACAGTTCTCTGTCTCCCGGTGACCTCCGTCCCTTGTGTGTGCACCCAGGCTGCCTGTACCTGCTGGAGCACGGCGAGGAGTACACCTTCACCCTACCCTGCGCCTACGCCCGCTCCATCCTGACTGTTCCCTGGGTGGAGCTGGGAGGCAAGGTCACCGTCACCTGTGCCAAGACGGGCTACTCGGCTGCCATCACCTTCCAGACCAAGCCCTTCTACGGAGGCAAACTGCACAAGTGAGTGTGCCAGAGGTGGAGCTGTGTGTGTGTGCATCTGCCTCTGCGTATGTTCATGTGTGTGTATACACACAGTAAAAAGCAGACAGGCACACTGATTCCCAGTCACAGTCGACGAGTGAAACAGAATGGGGCCCTACATCCTGATTCACTGCTTGTCGAGAGGAGCACCAGGAGGATTACTTTTGTACACATGTATTTTGTTCTTGATGCCTTCAGTAGCATGCTTAATTCTGACATTACATTACATCACATCATTGGTATTTAGTAGACGCTCTTACCCAGAACAACTTACCTCAGTTACAATGTTATCCATTTATACAGCTGGATATTTACTGAGGCAATTGGGGGTTAAGTACCTTGCCCAAGGGTACAACAGCAGTGCCCTAGCGGGAATCGAACCGGCAACCTATTGGTCACGAGTCCTGCTCCTTAACCACTATGCTACAATGCTGACAGAATTTTGATATTATACTCTGATTAACACATTATGCATAAGCCAGTGGAGTGTCTGCTACTTTTAATGATGAAGTTATCAGTAATCATCATGATTAATAATTTTTTTACATTCTCATCTTTGTTCCTGCTTTTGAGACAAATGCAGTGCAAAGATACTGGATGTTAACAGGTCTGGTCTGCTCCTTGATTGTACCTAAACTCTACAAAGAATGGGACTTGGCATTTTTCAGGATGTAACCTGAAGTTTAATCTGCCATTTGAAATGGTCAGTGCCTGCTCTTCTGCACTGAAGCAATTACTTGATATCAGTTTATTGAACCTGATATTTTCCTAAGCGAGTCAGGATGCGCAGCAGTGTCCTGCCACAGGCTGGAGCCTGCAGCGTTGCGGTCGGTAAAAAAGGCATCCTGGCCTTTTGTCTCCCCCAGAGTGACGGCTGAGGTGAAGCACAACGTCACCAACGCGGTGGTGTGCCGTGTGCAGGGCGAGTGGAACGGCACGCTGGAGTTCAGCTACAGCAACGGGGAAACGCGGGTGGTAGACGTCACCAAGCTCCCTGTCACCAAAAAGCGGCTCCGCCCCATTGAGCAACAGGGGCCCTATGAATCCAGGTGAGCCTGGGGTTTTGGACCCAACAGCAGCCCAGTATTACCACTACAAATAAAGCAAAATGAACCCCAGGGTAAACAGCTGGTCAGGCTGAGACTTCATCTGCCTTTTACATGGTTTGTCAAACTAGGCACTTTCCCTGTGCAGACTTTCAGTGACATAACCTCCTTTTTCTAAGAACCTTTAATAGTAACTGCAAACCTCTATGTCATTCCTGTGTGTTCCTTAATATGAATTATCCCAATTGCTTCAAGATGAATAAGTAAGTGTATATTATCATATGGCTTATTTAAGAAGTCAATCTGTGTAACTGATGTGCCTGCCTTCTTTAAGTTTGAAGGCATCAAATTCATTTTGTAATCCTCCCAAATGTAGACTCATTCAGGAATTAACTAGTTTTAACTGATGTTAATTGTCCGTATGTTTTTTCAGTATTGATAAGTGAAATGCATATTGCTGTGGGGGGACTTCAGGCCTGTGTTGTAAGCATTCTTTCACACTGCATAGTGTGATCTGTTCATCACTTTTCCTAGAACTCCCATTTTATCAGTCAGTCAGTAATTTACTGAGTCCATCAACTCTTACAGTTCAGGGTGCTTCAGAAAATACATTTAAAGAGAGTATATACAGCCTACAAATACCTATGGTTATATATAGTCATATATGTTAGCACATATGGAATGTGGTGCCATATATTCCATATGTGATAACATTTTTTTAACAATTCTGCAATACAACTGTATGTAAATACTGTCAAAGGTAGTTGTTGGAACGCCTTTAAAAAAGAGAAAGTAAGAGTAGGACAGATATGGCATGTCTGGTTCTAGAAGGGAGGGAATCATTGCTGTAATTTCAGGCGAATGTGGCAGCACGTGACAGAGTCCCTGCGCCAGAAGGATATGGATAAAGCCACGGAGCACAAGCGCCACCTAGAGGAGAGACAGAGAACAGAGGAGAGGCATCGCGCTGAGACAGAGACACCATGGAGGACCAGATACTTTGAACGCGAGGTGAGTACATCACAGCAGCACTGCATATCAATGCATATACCACTGTATAAAAATGATTCATATCAATTATTCATGCTGACGGCAGTGCATGGCCTAAAGTACACATCACTACAAATGACTAGCACTACAAAGGTGATCCTTCATGGCATCAGCTGATGCGTAGTGAGCAGTCATAAGTCTTTTATATGGGTTGAGCAGTGCTTAAGAACAGGCACTGTAGAACTGTTAATTGTTAGTAGAAATATTCAATGCTAATTGTGTATTCATGGTGAATTAGTGGGACCTAGATGTAAGTTGTAACCAAAATGCCTAAAGTTTGTTGCATGCATTTGTCTACAGGGTGAGTCACTAAAAGGAGGAGAGTGATTATTAAGACATTATGTGCTTTTGAGGTGATATAATAGGGTAAATTAATTTAGTGTATTCCTTTTTCTCCTCCATTTTTTAAATTAATTACATAAAAAGTAATAAGACCTATAGTAAATAAAGTGCATTTGCTTCAGCAACTTACACCTGTCAGTCATCCAGATGCTTTTAAAGTTAAAGAGGGCTCTCATGATTTATTCTTGAACCCTCAAGCTTGAGCGAGTCAGAGCCTCACCGGGAGGTTGTCTCTGCTTTGTCCCCAGGGTGACGGCTGGATATATTACAAACCGCTGTGGAAGACTGCAGTCACGAACCCCTGAAGCTTGCCTCCCTCCTCAGTCCTTCAGATCACACCTCTTTACAACTGCATTGAGTTTCAACATAGCCGCCAGGCGTGTTCTTATTCTGTGTTTATTTTTAACGGTTAAGACAGACCCACTACTTCTTGATTCCCAAAATTATATATATATATATGGCACCAACGTGTGACACAATGAGACAAAATTGTCCTGCTTCAATTTTTCTGTGTGGAGGACTGAGAAACCGGACAAAGGTGCATATTTTGTAAGGTCTGATTGATACTTTTGTATAATCGCTTATTAAAACGGTCGTCAGATCAACATGTATTCCTGTACATATTTAGGTTACTCAAGTGATGCTGCCTTAAACCTGACAGGTGCTGGCAGCAGAGTGCAGTGCAGTCTGGGTAATTCCTGAGGATCTGGAACGAGGGGTGTTTGTATCTTATCAGGGAGTTTCTGCAGGCCACGCTATGGCCGAGAGAGGCACGGGCTTACCTTGTGCTCCGATTCTGTTCCCCACGTTTCTGTCACACGGAGGAACCCAAGGTCACGCAGCCGTAAAAACCAGGTGGATCTCAGACAGGAGACTGAGGACAAGAGGCCGTGACCGAAACAAATTCCAGTGCATCCAAGCATTTGGAACGATGAAGCACTCCTTTGCTTCACAATTCCCACCAGTTCACTCAGCTTATATCCTGGTGATTTTTGGACACGGGCTGATGAGCGTTGTGCACTACGCAGAGGCACCTGGCGAGAAAAACAACTTGAGTTTACAGCTAATTCAGGTTTCTGTTGCAGGGGAATTCTTTTTTCCAGGAGAGGGAAGATGCAGATAGTAAAGCAGATTTGTGATTAGTGGGTAGGTAGAAGTTTGAGACTTGACTTCAGCTTTGCAAAGATTTGCCCTCCAAATGGCGGGTGCTTTTTTGTTTTGTTTTTTGTTCTTGCATGAGGATGTCGAGGCAAGCCGTGGGGCAGAGAACCTTACCAAGAAAGATGAAATTAACCGGGGCTAATGAAGCTCCTTGTTGAAAGGATTTCCCTTAGCGGTGAGGTTTTTTAAAAGATTGTTTGCTTTTCACCGACACCATGGTTTTCAGAAGGTTTGTACTGATGTGCACATTTGATTGGAAAATATTCAGTCTCCCCTTATGCTGTCATTCCTGGGCCTGTTGCCTACATTGAGATTTTTATTTCAACAGAATTTGTTTATTAAGCAGGCTAACCCATGTTTTATGTAGAGGGGGTGTGAGGGTTATGATGTACTCTATCTCCTTAACTGTTCATTCACTCTAACTTGCTCACTGCAGGCCATTAAATGTGTGAGTCACTTAAGTAGCTGGAACAGGACTTCAGTCTGTCCTGAAAATGAAATTGAGGATGATCATTTCCACAGATGGCAAAAAGCTGAGGAAAATTAGTAAAATCATAGGGAAATCTACTGGGAGTTTAACAACAAAACATTAGGATTGTAGCTACATTGAACCAGGTTGAAGGGAGTTTATATCAACCAGTTCAAGTCAGTCACAGCTTCTTTTTTGCCACTTTGTCATCTTTGTCACGATTTACCGTTTTGTTTCTCTGTGTGTTTGTTTTCCTTGGTATACGCAGAGCCTCACCGGTTCATTCAACACGCAAAATTAACGCCGGGGGGGTTGAGCGTGTCCTGCACGGCTAATCAAGTTCCACCCGCAGGACTTCAGTTTAGCGATGGGTGGAGTTCATTGAAACAGTATTCCACATGTGCACGTGCACGTTTTCCTTTTTCGTTCATAGGCTAGCCTCTCCTACAGCGTTGTGCCTTAAGCCGTTCTTTCTCGCGTTCGTCTTCCAGTTCGTGAAAGTGACATATCTTCCAGACGTCTTAAAGTTCCTGTTTGTTCGCCTCCCTGTCCTGAGCTACGAATGACGCCATGACTTATGCGGATATATTTTTTACTTGGGCATCTGCCTAGAGACAGTGGGCAGTATCTGTGTGGAGATGGGCGAGCTGAAATTCGCCATGTTTCCCAGCTCGGTTCAGTGGGAGGTCTCCTCCAATGAGAATCTGGAGTGGTGTTAAATGCATATCCATTTTGTTTTTGAGTCATTCTGTATGTCTTGCTAACCTGTGAAATGCACTGACATTTAATTTAATACAACACTCCTTGTAGACCTAGATAAGTGTGGTGATGAATGAATAAAAACACTGCTAATCCATCATGTGTTTTGGATGTGTTTTTTTTCTTTTGGCACTTTTTTGTAGTTTTGTAGTTCATTGTTTGTTTTTCTAGTTTGTTTTTTCACTGGACTAAAGATTGTCCATTCATAATTGAATATGGCTGTGGCATCTAAAGCAGACAGAAGAATAGACTTAAAGAACAGACTGATACATGAATATTTTATAAAATATATACAGAATTCTTACAAATGTGACACCAGTTCACAACAACCAACAATATACTGGAATGTTGCTCTTGCTTAAACCTTTTTCTACAAAAAAAACAAAGATGCAAACATTACATCAGATTACTTCAAAATGGCACCTTGGGCTCATCTCCAAGAAATTATTTGTGATTGGTTGTTAAATAATTTGCCATTTGCCTTGTTTATTCAGTGTGCATGTGTAATTTAATTTTAGGAATAATTGTTGAATTCACCAGCTCCCAATTATCTGGTTGCAGATTGTCCAATATGATGGTGATCCACACCAGTAGTTGAAAATGAA